GAGGTGCTTAATTACAAGAAGACTCATGTGAGATCTTTTTATTAAGAGAAGACTTGTGGCAGGTTTCGAACCTAAAATACCCAGGAGAGGTCTTCTATCATTAGAACGCACGAGGCAGGAATTTTTTGCTCGAAAAAAAAACAGCGTGAGATCTGCAAAAGATTAAAAGTTCATGGGACATCCTCCATAAATGAAAGGCCCATGAGAGGTGATAAATTATAAAAAAATGAGAGATCTTTTTCTCAAGAGAAGACTTGTGGCCGGTTTCGAATCAAAAGAGGTGGTATTGTCAAAAGAAGACCCCTATAAGGGCTTATATCATTAGAAGATGAAAAGATTTTAATCAAAAGAAGACCTGTGGTAGGTCTTCTATCAAAAGAAGACACTTGAGAGTTATTTATGACAATAGAAGAAAAGTTCTGAAGAATACTCGTGTTGATATTCTTTCAATAAAAAAGCTATGATGGTCTTCTTAAGATAGTCAGCATGCACTAGGTCTTCTATAAATGGAAGAACCGAGAAAGGTGGTTTAAGATTAGAAATTCTGTTCGATGTCTTTGAAAAAAAAAAATTCCAAAAATAATATGGAAATGGACCATCTTTCGAAGGAAGTATCCGATTTGGTCCAAACTTGGTACATCGCAATATTATTATCAAACTCAGATTGCGTTCAGAAATGGGCAATATCGGTACACTCCTTCTGGTACCTCCCCCACAAAAGGTAAAAAAAAAAATATTTTACTGCACAGAAAGATAAAGGATAATCCGATTCGGTTCCATATTTGCAAATCCTGTTATTTGCTAGGTAAGGTGAGAAAATGGACAATATCGGTCCACTTCATCAAGTACCTCCTCCATAAAAGGTCAACATTTTGAATAAATATAGCTCTCATAAAATATGATGAAAGAGGCCGATTTCCTTCAAATTTTACATATCGGAATAATTTAAACGCGAAATTAACATCCGATTCCATTCAGAATTGGCATATCTCAATATTTCCATCAACACAAGATCTGTTGTAAAGATGGTATAGATCGGACTATTCCTTCTGGTAACTTCCCCACAAAGGGCCAACGTTTTGAAATCGATTATAAAACCCGAAATAATTATGCAGTTGTCTTCATATTTCACACATCTCATTATTTCCACTAACAGAAGATCTGATGTGAAGATGGAATACATAGGTCCACTCCTTCTGGTACCTCCCCCACAAATGGTCAACATTTTGAATATCCGATTCTACTAAGGCTTGGTACATTTCAATATATCCATCAACACAAGATCTGTTAGAAAGATGGTAGAGATCGGATCGTTCTTTCTGGCACCTCCCCCACATAGGGTTCCAGATTTTGAAAAACCAAAAGCTCAAAGAAAACGACATAAGCATCCAACCATTCCATTCCATTCATTCAAACATTTTTGCTAACACAAGGTATGTTGTGAAGATGATATATATCTTCCAACCCCTTCTGCTACTTCAAACCACAATTTTCAATACTTTTATCTGTCATAACAAGTTTGTCACAGGCTATTACAATATTCAATTTCGGTGAATAATGTCACAAAAGCCTCAAAATAGCGAATATAGGGAGGTGCCGATGTATGGGGGCTATACGAAGACCTGGACCTGCAAAAGCAATTTTCTGTCATAGGTACCCATTACGAACTGCAAATACGAAATTTGAAACAATCTCGGTGAATAACATCGCAAAAATCATTAAAATATCGAATATTCGAAGGTACCGTTATATGGACCCACATAGTAAATTTTCTGTGATAGACTGTAGTACGAAAAGCGAACTACAAATACGAAATATGAAACAATTCCTTAAATCATCAAAATAACGATTGTAGGGTGGTACCTAAACGTGGACCTATATAGCCCATTTTCAAAATTTGCAAAATTTTATGAATCTACTTCAACTGGCTCGGAAGCTAAAGTGATTTCCACAGACGGACAGATGGAGAGACGGACGGACGCCGCAAAATCGACATAGAATTGTATACAGGCTGAGATAAAGGGTCTAAAATGTATATTTCGAGGTGTTTCAAACGGACCTCCTCCATATCATGGTGGAGGGTATAAAAATGGAATACTTCTGTCAACTATATCTGACACATCACGCACATTTTAACCTTTCCTAAAAATTATAGTATATCTCATATAAAGAGAGGGAAGTAACCAATATAGTCCAAATATGGCAAGTCCGAATATTTATATCATATTTAGTTAGGTGAGATACGAAATGGACAATATTGGTCCATTACTTCGGAACCTACTCCATAGAGGGCCAAGAGTTTGAATAATACTAAGAAAAGTCAAAATACATTTAAATAATCGAAAATTGGCTGATTGTTTAATTACAATTTTAAGGAAAAATCTGAGCTATAATCGTAGATTTTTTCAAGAAAAGTATTTTTTCAAATGCGAACATTTAATAATCGTAGATTTTTTAAACATTTTTTTAAATAAAAGGATTATAGCTCTAAATCGACTTTAACAAAAAAGGGACGTTTTTTTAATCGAGTTCTCCAAAGAATTTCAGAGCCTTACAGCTTTTAATGCGTATTTTTGAAGGCGGTTTCTTTATGGACTTCTCAGAGCTGTAATCGTGGATTTTTTAAACATTTTTCTTGAGCATTTTTCAAAGAGATTTTTTCAAGATCACCCATTTTGAGTACAATTTTCCAAAGAAACATCAGAGCTATAATCGTGTACTTTTTTTAAAAATATTTTTTTTAAGGGCCAATAGGTTTATAATAGTGGAATCAGAAATTAGTTTGGACGGACCAATAATTTTGAGGTTTTCTAGAGGGCAATTACAGCTATAAAACTTCCTTTTTTCGCATAGATTTTCAAGGTCCCTCAAAATTCTAATCGTGGACGTTTTAATGTAATTTTTAAAGCATAGCGGAGGTATAATCGCTTATTCTTCAAAAAGAGCTATAACCGACTTTTACAGAAAAAAAGAATCGGGATTTTTTTCAAAACCGTCGGAGCTGTTGTTGTTAACTTTTAAAATAGATTTTTTCGAAGTCTGCTACAATTGTAAACGGGGATTTTTGAAATAGATTGTTCAGTGGCCCTCAGAGGTCTGATCGTAGATTTCTAAAAAAAAATTCTCGAGTGCCATTGTGGCTATAAACGTTAATTTTTTTTTAAACAGGGCCATCAGAGGTATAAGAGACATTTACAAAGAAAAATAGACAAATAATCAAGAATATTTTAAATAGATTTCTAAATGACCCGTAGAACTTAAATGGACTACTCTAAGGATCATCATATGCATAATTGAGCCGAACTTCGAATACCCTCCACCATTTGGAACAAATTTGGCAATTTTCAAGAAATAAAATTCGTTAAAAATTCTGTTCAAATCTTAAAAATACCGAATGTAGCCGTTATATTAGGGTATATACGACGACGTGGACCTGCATAGACAATTTTGGTCGTAAGCCATTATAATATTCAAATGCGAAACTTGAGAAAAATCGGTGAATAATGTCGTTAAAATTATGAAAATACCGAATATCGGGAGGTACCGACGTGGACTTGTACAGACAATTTCCTGTCATAGGCTGTAATATCCATTACGAACCTCAAATACCACATTTGAAACAATTCCGGCGAATAATTCAATTCCGAAAATAGTACCATTATATGGGGGCTATACCAAAACGTGGATCTATTTCAATACCAAAAGTCCTGCAGACATAATATACATTTGAGTAAAGTTTTATCAACATACTTCATTTCGTTCGGAAGCTAGAGTGATTTCCACAGACGGACGGATATCGCTAAATCGAATTTTATGCTGATCAAGAATATATATTCTTTGTGGGGTCTAAAATGTATATTTCGAGGTCTTACAAACGGAATGACAAACTTAATATACCCTCCATACTATGGTGGAGGGTATAAAAATAGGATAGTAATTGAGATTTCTTTGAATATTCCTTTCAAGGGACATCAGAGCCAGAGTTGTGGATTTTTTAAATAGATATTTTCAAGGATCTTAAGTTAGGTACTCGACACACTCCCACACATTATGGCATACTATAGCTGAAAAACACTTTTCAAAGACTATCTCAAAAGACCCGTCCTATTCATTATTAAATGGACGAAGTTCTATTAAAATACTTTGACATGAGGCCGTAAATAGTCTATCAGTTTTTCTTCATGGATTCAGAGATCACAGAATAGAAAGGAAAGAATTTCAAAGGGCGGTGATGTGATGCACAGGTATTTCGCACCGAGATTCTCTTCCAGATTCGCTCATCCGTTCAAATATCTTCAGTCATCTAGCATAATTCAAATAACCATGCGAATTCTCCAATGTACAGAAGACTTTCAGGCCTCATATCTACAAAAGATGTATAGAATGCCTTCTATTGGTCTTCTTAACCCCCTGCGAACCAAATAATTAATAAACGAGCTAAAGACTTTCTTTTATTTTCAACTATTAATTTTAGGTCCATTACTCTCTTCCCTCCTTCCATTTCCCCACTTTTCCCACACTGTCCTGAGATGTTTATTTACTAAAACCATTTTTGTTGTTATTAAACAAAACACGATTGAATAAACAAAACATTCATTCGTTCACATCGCATTGCTGCCAATAGCATCATTTATTGTTTATATTGCCAATCTAATAAATGTGATTTTTTATGACTTTTTTCGCCAAATTTTCATGTTTTGTTTTGTTTTATGGACAAGGAATTTTTTCTGCAACATAAAAATGATTTTATTTTGAATTAAATTACTAATCAAAATATTCCAAGGTGTTTTGTGAAATCGGAAAAGCGAAAAACAAAACAAGTCAAACAAAAGACAATGTTATAAGAAATTTTAAATAATATTTTGAGAAAAAAAAATCGACGGTGATTATTTTTTTGAAAATTACAATAAAACTAAAGGCTGCTGGTGATATTAAAAAAAATCTAAATAAATTTTGTGTTTTGAAAAAGTGAATTAAAATAAAATTCGACTAAGCAGTTGAATTAAACAGTCTGGAGGTTTTAAGACAACAATCCCGTTCTATTGCTGCCCTAAGGAGGAAATCACAACTCAAGGTAAGTAGCCAAAATAACTGAAAAAATTAAAAAAAAAAGATTTTGATTGAAAATAACAATTCCGGACTTAGAAAATCAATATCGAAATGAAATACTTCCAAAGCTAATACATTTAGTATGGGGCGTATTAGTACTGACAACTATCATACGCCCCAACGTCCCTCATACATATTTTAAATATATTTTTTTCAAGGACCCACAGACCAAAAATCGTGGATTTTTAAATACATATTTTAAGGATCAATAGACCAATAATCCAGGATTTTTTAAATCATTTTTTTCAAGGACCAACAGATCAATAAGCGTGGATTTTTTTAATTAATTTTCTCAAGGACCAACAGACCAATAATCCAATATTTCTTAATAATTTTTTCCAGGACGAATAGACGAATAATCCAGGATTTCTTATAATAATATTTACAATAATTTTTTTCAAGCACCAATAAACCAATAAACCAGAATTTTTTAAATAATTTTTTTCAAGGACCAACAGACCAACATGCGCGGATTTTTTTAAAAAAAATTTTCAAGAACCAATAGATCAATAAGCGTGGATTTTTTAAATAAATTTTTCAAGGGCCAATAGACCAAAAAGCGTGGATTTTTTAAATAAATTTTTTCAAGGGCCAATAGACCAATAAGCGTGTATTTTTTAAATAATTTTTTTCAAGGGCCAATAGACCAATAAGCGTGGATTTTTTAAATAAATTTTTTCAATTGCCAATAGACGAATAAGCTTGGATTTTTTAAATAAATTTTTTCAAGGACCAATAGACCAAATAGCGCGGATTTTTTAAATAAATTTTTTCAAGGACCAATAGACCAATAAGCTTGTATTTTTTAAATAAATCTTTTCAAGGACCAATAGACCAATAAGCGTGGATTTTATAAACAAATATTTTCAAGGACCCACAGACCAATAAGCTTGTATTTTTTAATAATTTTTTTCAAGGGCCAATAGACCAATAAGCGTGGATTTTATAAACAAATATTTTCAAGGACCCACAGACCAATAAGCGTGGATTTTTTAATAATTTTTTTCAAGGGCCAATAGACCAATAATCCTGGATTTTTTAATAATTTTTTTCAAGGATTTTTTAATAATTTTTTTCAAGGGCCAATAGACCAATAATCCTGGATTTTTTAATAATTTTTTTCAAGGGCCAAAAGACCAATAAGCGTGGATGTTTTAAATAATTTTTTTCAAGGATCAATAATCCAGGATTATTTAATAATTTTTTTCAAGGATCAATAGACCAATGATCCAGTATTATTTAATAATTTTTTTCCAGGACCAATGGACCAATAATCCAGTATTTTTTAATATTTTTTTCTAGGACCAATGGACTAATAATTCAGGATTTTTTAATACTTTTTTTCAAGGACCAATAATCCAGGATTTTTTAATACTTTTTTCAAGGACCAATATACCAATAATCCAGGATTTTTAATAATTTTTTTCAAGGAGCAATAGAACAATAATACAGGATTTTTTAATAATTTTTTTCAAGGACCAATGGACCAATAATCCAGAATTTTTAATATTTTGTTTTCAATGACCAATGGACCAATAATCCAGGATTTTTTAATATTTTTTTTCAAGGAGCAATAGAACAATAATACAGGATTTTTTAATAATTTTTTCAAGGACCTATGGACTAATAATTCAGGATTTTTTAATACTTTTTTTCAAGGACCAATAATCCAGGATTTTTTTAATATTTTTTTCAAGGATTTTTAATATTTTTTTTTAATCATTTTCTTCAAGTACCAATAGACAAATCCAGTATTTTTTTATATTTTTCTCAAGGACCAATAGACTATTAATGCTGGATTTTTTAATATTTTTTTCAAGGACCAATAATCCTGAATTTTTTAATAATTTTTTTCAATGACCAATAGACCAATAATCCTGGAATTTTTAATAATTTTTTTCAAGGACCAATAATCCTGGATTTTTTTAATAATTTGTTTCAGGGACCAATAGACCAATAATCCTGGACTTTTTAATAGTTTTTTTTTTCAAGGACCAATAATCCTGGATTTTTTAATAATTTTTTTCAAGGAACAATAGACCAGTAATCCATGATTTTTTAATAATATTTTTCAAGGACCAATAGACCAATAATTCAGGATTTTTTAATAATTTTTTCAAGAACCAATAATCCAGGATATTTAAATCTTTTTTTCAAGGACCAATAATCCAGGATTTTTTAATCTTTTTTTCAACGACCAATAATCATGAATTACATTAGCGATATGAGAATTCAGAATTTCTTAGAAAATTCAAACACCTCCCAATTGTATCAGTCCCACATGCACCAAATCCAATTCAAGTGAAACGAAGAATAGCAAACACCAAACCTTTAACGGCCAGTCAGTCAGTCACTCAGCCATACCCTTAGGCCACAACGTTTAACCATTGGCCTAAATAAATGCTTAGCCATTTCCCCACCACTGCCAGCGCCACCACCACAAAACAATGTCCTTGGGCTTTATGATAAGGGCACTGCACTCTGGCGGCTGTTGTGGTGTGCTTTTATATTTTTTCTATTATTTTCCGTATATATAGTTTTTTTTTGTATTATTAATTTCATTTGTTGTTGCTGTTGTACGTTTTGCCTTGTAATGGTGCATGCAATGCATGCCACACCACCACCGCCACAAATTCATAAGAACAACCAAAACATGCAACGATGATGAATACAACTACAACGCCATGGCCTAGTGTAGAAATGAATGAATTTGATGCCAGTGTGTTGAGGAGAGATCCACTCAATCTTTATGTGTGGGAATATATGATATATGTGTGTTTGTGTCTGTGTAAGGGTAAAGGGTTTAACACAAACGATTAACCGTGACATCGTATCAAGAAGATAGGCTTGTGAAACGACAAAAAACACACACACAATTCTGTTAACAAATATGTGGGTGAGTATGTGTGTGAGCGTGATTTTACATCAAAAATGTTCTTTCAGAAAAAAACGAAAAACAAAAACACTTTGCGACATTGCCTCGACACCCTCATCCTAATATTTGTCACGACTAGGTCATAAAGGACATTAACTGATAACGAAGCACTGCCTTCACACAAATACAATGGTGTGGCATGCATGGCATGGTAGGACAGCAAAAACAACAACAACATTTACGCCTTAAAAGTAGGTTAAACGTTTTTTATAAATTCTTCACATGCACATGCAGGCACACAGATACAAATCCACCCACCGAATGGTAGTCTATGGCAAAGAAAAGGATTGTTCAAAGAAATAAAAAAGGAATCATTTGGAAGACCGACTGAAATGTAGCCTATACTACTACCATAAAAAATAAGACGCTCTGGGGGGTCCTCTATCAATTGACCTTTTAAGGTTTCCTATAAAAATAACAGGATTTTAAAATATATATAATAAGGACCAACAAACAAATTGTAGTGGATTTCCCAAAACAGATTTTTACAAGGAACTACTGAGAAATAATCGTACATTTTTTAAAGAATATTTAGACCAATAAACGTTGATTTTTTAAAGAATATTTTTCAAGGATCTATAGACCAATAAACGTGGATTTTTTAAAGAATATTTTTTAAGGACCAACAGACCAATTAACGTGGATTTTTTAAGGAATATTTTTCAAGGACCAAAAGACCAATAAACGTGGATTTTTTAAGGAATATTTTTCAAGGACCAAAAGACCAATAAACGTGGATTTTTTAAAGAATATTTTTCAAGGATCTATAGACCGATAAACGTGGATTTTTTAAAGAATATTTTTTAAGGACCAACAGACCAATTAACGTGGATTTTTTAAGGAATATTTTTCAAGGACCAAAAGACCAATAAACGTGGATTTTTTAAGGAATATTTTTCAAGGACCAAAAGACCAATAAACGTGGATTTTTTAAAGAATATTTTTCAAGGATCTATAGACCGATAAACGTGGATTTTTTAAAGAATATTTTTTAAGGACCAACAGACCAATTAACGTGGATTTTTTAAGGAATATTTTTCAAGGACCAAAAGACCAATAAACGTGGATTTTTTAAGGAATATTTTTCAAGGACCAAAAGACCAATAAACGTGGATTTTTTAAAGAATATTTTTCAAGGATCTATAGACCAATAAACGTGGATTTTTTAAAGAATATTTTTCAAGGATCTATAGACCAATAAACGTGGATTTTTTAAGGAATATTTTTCAAGGACCAACACTAAACGTGGGTTTTTTAAAGAATATTTTTCCAAGGACCAACACTAAACGTGGATTTTTTAAAGAATATTTTTCAAGGACCAACACTAAACGTGGATTTCTTAAAGAATATTTTTCCAAGGACCAACACTAAACGTGGATTTTTTAAAGAATATTTTTCAAGGACCAAAACTAAGCGTGGATTTTTTAAAGAATATTTTTCAAGGACCAACACTAAACGTGGATTTTTTAAAGAATATTTTTCAAGGACCAAAACTAAGCGTGGATTTTTTAAAGAATATTTTTCAAGGACCAAAACTAAGCGTGGATTTTTTTAAAGAATATTTTTCAAGGACCAACACTAAACGTGGATTTTTTAAAGAATATTTTTCAAGGACCAACACTAAACGTGGATTTTTTAAAGAATATTTTTCAAGGACCAAAACTAAGCGTGGATTTTTTTAAAGAATATTTTTCAAGGACCAACACTAAACGTGGATTTTTTAAAGAATATTTTTCAAGGACCAACACTAAACGTGGATTTTTTAAAGAATATTTTTTAAGGACCAACAGACCAATTAACGTGGATTTTTTAAGGAATATTTTTCAAGGACCAAAAGACCAATAAACGTGGATTTTTTAAGGAATATTTTTCAAGGACCAAAAGACCAATAAACGTGGATTTTTTAAAGAATATTTTTCAAGGATCTATAGACCGATAAACGTGGATTTTTTAAAGAATATTTTTAAGGACCAACAGACCAATTAACGTGGATTTTTAAGGAATATTTTTCAAGGACCAAAAGACCAATA